AAGTATCTTTGCTGGCCCACGAGAAAGAGCAGCAACATGTGAAAGCAAAGCAATAGATGATCAAGACCAGCATATCCATGAGGGAACCATCTGTTCTTCATGACCACCTGCAGACCCACTTCCTCCAGTCTCCTCTGGTCTCTTTTTTGCCCTGCCCCCCTGGTTCTCCTGCCCCCACCAGGGCTGTAGATAAGAGATTGCACTGCTATGTGAGCAGTATGATATGTATTGTTATCTGGAGAGACTAGGGTACTTGCTTTTATTATTACCTTGGAAAAGGCTCTCTACATTTCAGTTTGAGAAAGTCTTGAAAATATGGGGCCATTCCATGTCTGTATTTGTAATATTGATGCAGCTTTATACCTGTTTCGTTTGTCTTGATTTGTGTTGTTCTGAATAAAACATATTACAAAAAAAGCAGAAGGAAAGATTGGATATTTGTGGCATGCAGGAAATTGGAACAAGAGATATATTGGGTCAATTTAATGGAGTGGTTGAACTGTTTGGCCATCAGGGCTGTGCCTTGGGCTCATGTGTTATCATCATGTAGTACACAGGTACCAGGTCCAGTCGGCAGCATCTCCAGGTATAGCTGAGAAAAGCTCCTGGCTGACATCTTGGGGAGCCACTGCTACTCAGTGTAGAATAGATAACACTGAGCTGGATGGACCAATGGTCTGACTCTGCATAAGGCAGCTTACTGTGTTCCTATGTTATGTTATTTTCTTTACTCCCTTATGTTCAGGATCCTTTCCTCACATTTTCCTTTAAAAAATTGTTATATTTTAACATGTAAACATATCAAAAGTACAAAGCAACAGTTGATAAAATGTTCACGCCATAAAACCTAGCTGTTATACAGTATAATACAATTCCATTTCATAATGTTATTAATACTAAAACTAATAAAAACTAACATGGTAGTCCCTTGTGCCATCACTGCAAATATTTTGGAGGCAAAGTATGGTTTGTCCAAACCACAGTTTGCTATGACATTCAAACTGGGCAAACCGTAGTTTGCCCAGTTCGAATGTCACTATTTATTATTATTTATACCCCACCCATCTGGCCGGGTTTCCCCAGCCACTATGGTTTGCTCAAACCAGGGAAGAAAGAAGAGAAGGGACCAGAGGCAGGAATAAGTAACATGCAAGCTTGAGCCAAGGCCATAATGTTTTAGTATGCCATCCTAATCCCAGCCACTCCCTGGTGAGCCTTAATGGAGTGGCAGGACCACCACCGAATATGGAGACCTTGCCAAACATGCCAGCTGGGGTAGAAGGCAGTAAAACACAGTGACTGGATGATGCCACCACACGTTCAACAGATCCCAGACCATCTCAGTCCCCCTACTCGCTGTCTTTATAATGCCCTGTTTCAGGGCTGCTTGCTGGCTGCTGCCAGTGGGTTCCGAATTACAGCAATTCTGCCTGCCAATCCATTTAGCAAGTGCAAAGGAAACTTTGCACAGGCAGAATAATACTGACAGAGTGATGCTGTGTCATGCTGCAGGTAGAGGCATAAATTTGGTACAAAGGGGGTTTGAATTGCAGCGGCTCGTTGCCTTTGTTGTTGCATCCTCGGTCAGAATTTGATACAAGCATCCATGAAGGTTGTCTCTCCAGCATATTCAACGATAGGGAGACTCTATAAATGGTCTCTGGAGGCCCTGCAAGGGCTTTGTTGAAGGACTGCTGCTGGATCCATAAAACGTAGTTGTTGCATTTTGCTAACAGGTTTGCAGATATAGAGGCTCGGTGTCTGTGCCACCTATTCAGAGTAAAACCATGTAATCATTTTCCCTGTTTGGAATGTTGACAGAGGGAAGATGGGCAAGAAACACCCTTTATTTCTATAACTGGGAGGGAGAAATTGGTTCCTCTTTGCCAGAAACGCCAACAAGCCCAGAAGGACTGACTGCAAAACAGCTCAATCCTGTTTGTTGGTGTGGGGAATATGAAGGAGGCGGGAGTCTACATTCACCCACTGATGGCCTGGAAAGCTTTGTAAAGACTTGGAAATCTCCTTAGCCTTGATTTGGCCACTGCACTCTTGACAATCTGGCAAGCCAGTGTGTCCTGATTGCTATTTGGAACCAATTTTCCTCTCCCAATGAGCCCGAGATTTGCGTTGCTTCATTTAGCTAATTATATTTTTAGATGCACACACATTCCTATATTTAATTACAGATAAATTTCAGGATTCATTGGGATCTGGCAGCCTAAAGTGAGAGTGAGCAGTGAAAGACTCATGAAGACCAATCACTATAAATATAGAGTCAGTATTAAAAGGTTATCGTAATGAAGGCTTTTTTTTTTTTAAGAGTACAAGGGTGGAGCCTGCAATTCTCAATTTCTAAAAATGAAAGGTGATGGGGTTCAAGTCCAACGGCAGCTCATACATTCTGAGTGCTTCCCCTTATTGTGTGTGTGCATGGGGAGGCAAGGCTCATACATCATATAAAGCATCTTGTCTGTGTTGGAGAGGAATTTGATTTTATTCGCATTTTAATGAGAAATTATCTAATTCTTTTCAGACAAAGCATGCGAACTGAAATGCAATTATCCTTTGAAATCAGCACTTCTCTGAATTCTGACAGTAGTAAAAAAAAAAAAGTGTAGAAAAATGCATATGTTAGTGAAAATAGCATACACAAATGCATTATATTAGAGGAGCCACTTGCAAATAAGTGTATATTAAGATTAATCTGCATTAAAATGTTGATGAGTTTTCCTTAGGATTATTTTTTTTTTAATTGAAAACTGCTGCAGTAATGTGAAGAATTGAATTTAAGATTGGGAGAACAAGAAGCCAAAATTTTCTGGTTCTTCCATCACTACCTGCTTCACAAACCAGAGAAGTAAGCATCTCATAAAGGTTTTATAACAGCTCACAGACTATGTGTCCATTTAGTCTCGTGTTATTTATTCCCTGCCTGATTCTCCAGGGTCTCTGGCAGGGGTCCTTCCTTCCCATTCAGGGAGCCTCTGATTGTATTGTATTTTTCTCCTCCGAGATTGGAATGATTTTCATTCCTATATGCAGAAAAGGTCATCGGACAAGCCTACTTTCACAGCATCCCTGGACTTGCCTCAGACTGGCCATTTTTGCCTATGCCTGGAGGGCAGCAAGGAAGGGGTTAACTCAGTCCCCAGGTTCTTGTATGGGGGGGGGGACCCTGGAAAAAAAAAGACATGATGTCATGCTCTCCAGCCTGTCCTTCCTCCCACTCCACTGGCCCCCTGACTGCCCATCAGTGGCCTGAATAGGGAATTAGTTTTGCCCGCATTTAGACCTCTTAATTAGCTATTCTTTTCGCTCAGCTTGGGAAGAGGAGGGGTAAGAGAGACACCCCCCTCCACCCCCCCAACTGTGCTTGGCCGTTCTCCTGCCACAGGCCAACAAAGGGGCCCAGCAGGCAGTGCCATTGGAGGGCGCTGGAGACGCCAGGGCCTGTCAAAGTGCGTTTCCCACCTTCCAGAGCCAACCCTTTCTCTCCTCCAGCCAGGAGACAGGCTGCCTTAATTGGGCTGAAAATCTAATCATTTGTAACTCCCAGGCCTGGGAAGGCGGAATGAGAGAGGGCAGAGGACCAGCTGCGGGGAAGTGAGGGACAGAATGGGGAGAAGTAAGTGAGTGTGTGTGTGAGTGAGAGAGAGAGAGAGAGAGAGAGAGATTCTGTAGGAGAAACATAAAATAAGGGAAAGGGGTGAGAGCTGCCTTATGTTGAATCAGGCCATATGAATGTTAGAAGAGCCTGCTGAATCAGGCCAATGGTCCATCCAGTCCAGCACCTTGTTCTCACAGTGGCCAACCAAATGCCTATGGGAAACCCTCAAGCATAAGAACAGTCTCCCTTCCTGAGCTTAGCAGCAACTGGGGTTCAAAAGCATTACTGCCTCAAATTGTGGAGGCACAGGACAGCCACTGTGGCTAGCAGCCTTGACCTCGGTGAATTCGTTCCATCAAATATATATACATAAAATTTCCACATCAGGATCCAATCTATAATAAGTTTTTCTTTTCTTTTATCAACTTCCCATCTCATTTTCCATGGTGCTCTTCTTTTCCACCCTTTGCTGCACTGTATCTTCCCTCTTTTATATCATAACTAATACAGTAATATCTGATTCTCTCTGTTGCTCATAGTTCAAATCCTGCTTTCAGATTCATCGTGTTATAATATTTCTTTAAGTAATCCAAAAAAGGCTTCCATTCTCCAATAAAACAATCATAATTAAGTTCTCTTACTATAGCTGTTAACTTTGCTGATTCAGTATATTCCATCACTTATCCATTCTTATTTCCATTTCTGAGCAAAAAGAGCCCTAGCTGCTGTAAAAAGGTAAAGGTAAAGGGACCCCTGACCATTAGGTCCAGTCGTGGCCGACTCTGGGGTTGCGGCGCTCATCTTGCTTTATTGGCCGAGGGAGCCGGCATACAGCTTCCAGGTCATGTGGCCAGCATGACTAAGCCGCTTCTGGCGAACCAGAGCAGCACACAGAAACGCCGTTTACCTTCCTGCCGGAGCGGTACCTATTTATCTACTTGCACTTTGATGTGCTTTCAAACTGCTAGGTTGGCAGGAGCAAGGACCGAGCAACGGGAGCTCACACCGTCGTGGGGATTCGAACCGCCGACATTCTGATTGGCAAGTCCTAGGCTCTGTGGTTTAACCCACAGCGCCACCCACGTCCCTAGCTGCTGTAGTTACATACATAAACAACTTAACAATCTTTTTTGGAATTTCTGTCCCTATAATCCTTAGCATCCATCCCTTTTTTAAAGCCAACCAAAAACCATGATTTTGTTATGGAAAAAGCATAATATATGTTTAAAGCAAAAATCACCACCCTTTGATTATAAAATGCTTAGTGGAGGGGAAATGAAGGGTGCTGCAATGACCAGCATCAGCCCTGGTGGGCTCTGGAATGCTGTGCTGGTTCAGGTGCTGATTCTGGGCCTGTTTGCTGCTACCCACATAATCTGTCGCTTTCCAAGTTGTCCTTGGGTAGCTCAGTGATAGAGTATCCGCTCTGCATGCAGAAGGTCCCAGGTTCAATCCCCAGCTACAGCTGAGAGAGTCCCTCAATCCGAAACCCTTGAGAGCTGCTATGTCATCATGGGCAGAACTGAGCTAGATGAGCCAGTGGTCTCAGTAGAAGGCAGTATCCTTTGTTCCATTTGGGTGGCCCCTGGGTGCCATTCGGATGTTTTATCTCAGGCATCAAAATGCCTTGGGCTTTCCAGCTGGGCTGAGGCAGGGAACAGTTCCACCTCTTGGCAAAGTAGCCTCTTGTGGGTCCCAGCCTTTGTCAGTGGGTATCCCTCTTCGAATCATCTGGTAGCTGTGGAAGTGCTGGGCAGCAATGGTGTTCCCATCAGGACTGGACTGCTGGGTCTGGCAGCTGCCATTTTTATTTCCCAGAAAATGCCTGAGTGGTGCCATGTTGAGGGACACTGTGGGAAACTGAAATGGTGCCCCCTGGACCAAATTCCTGACTCTGGATTAGAGTGCCAGCGGGGGGTGGGGGGTGGTACTGCTGGTGTGATGGGGCCCTGAGGATGTCACACGGTGACACCAGACCTGGGTGAAGAACAGGTGCGAGATGGTGACGTTTATTTGTGCGTGATACCTCAGCAGCGGTTTCCACAACCTTTTAATTCATTTTAACGTATGCATGGCATGACTCATTGCCTGGGGAAAGCAAGCGCGCTTCAATCAGACAGCAGGCAATCTACATACCAGCTGTGGCAAGACTACCTGACCTGCAGAGAGGTCTTTGTGAACCCTGGCGCTTGCCAAGTGCCCTTGGCCTTTCATTCTGACATTTACCTGCGGCTGTTGGAATCCTGTCATGGCACTGGCATGATTTTTCACAAGCATTTGCCATTCATTAATCGCAGCTTGGCCTGGCGCCTGGCGATGAGTGATTAGGAAGTTGCCTTCTTTCAAAGGAATGAAGATGCATGTGGAGATCCCCAGTGTTTAGTTGTTAAGTGCGTGTTACAATTTGCATCCATGGTTTTGCAGGTGTGCGCTCCAGGCCAGAGGTTTTTTTTAATGGGCGGCACAGTTGCTCCAATGCATACATGGATCTCTCAGGTTCACCATTTATTTCAATGATGGCAGAATGAAGTGTGTGTGTGTGTGCATTCCTCAACAAGCAAGGATCTCTTTCCTGCACTGACATGAATATGAGCTCAGGTTAATGTGGGCCTCTGGATCAAAGCAATTGTCCATGTGCTTCAGGCTCTAGACTTAGGTAGACTTAGAGCCAGTGTGGTGTAGTGGTTAAGAGCGGTAGATTCGTAATCTGGGGAACCGGGTTCCAGTCTCCGTTCCTCCACATGCAGCTGCTGGGTGACCTTGGGCTAGTCACACTTCTCTGAAGTCTCTCAGCCCCACTCACCTCACAGAGCGTTTGTTGTGGGGGAGGAAGGGAAAGGAGAATGTTAGCTGCTTTGAGACTCCTTCGGGTAGTGATAAAGCGGGATATCAAATCCAAACTCCTCCTCCTCCTCCTCCTCCTTGGTGGCTTTACAGATGCTTTTTTCTTCCTCCTGTTAGTTTCATATCAATATTCATTACAGAGGAATGCATGTTTATCATTAGCACCTCATACATTTCAGAAAATAAAAGGAATAAAAGGAAAACAGAAATATATAGCATTTTCCTTATAATAAGGGGGTGGTTCGGTGTAGGTGCCTATCTTTAGAGGTAAAAAGGTAAAGGGACCCCTGACCATTAGGTCCAGTTGTGGCTGACTCTGGGGTTGCAGCACTCATCTCGCTTTATTGGCCGAGGGAGCCGGCATACAGCTTCTGGGTCATGGGGCCAGCATGACTAAGCCGCTTCTGGCGAACCAGAGCAGTGCACGGAAACACCGTGCCGGAGCAGTACCTATTTATCTACTTGCACTTTGACGTGCTTTTGAACTGCTAGGCTGGCAGGAGCAGGGACCAAGCATTGGGAGCTCACCCCGTTGCGAGGAAATGGCCATAAATCCATGGTACAGCATCTGCTTTGGATTCAGAAGATTCCAAGTCACATCCCTGGCATCTCCAGGTAGGTTTGGGAGAGACTCCTCTTTGAAACCCTGGAAGGCCGCTGCTTTTTACTAATTGAAATTGGTGTGACAACTTTGATCATTCATGGACTGGGAAAGCTTGGCCACGAACACTTTAATTAGGGCGTAACCTTTCATAGACCAGCGTCCCCCTCCTCAGGTGCATAAAGCTCTCTTCACTTGGATGAGGCATTTATAAGCTGGGGTGGTGACGGGCGACTGGTGGGAAGGGGAGGCTGCAGAAATGAAAAGAAGTGAAATCAGTGTGCATCGAAGCACATGCAAAATGTGACACAGATAATGATGTAAAGGCAAAAATAAGTGACTAAGTAGGTAGTGACGGAGATAATGCATTTTTCTTGACATTGGTAAGCTGCTTAACTAACATCCTGTGATAAAAACCCATAAACTTGATCCAAGTCACAAATGGTATAAATGATAAATTGTAATTCAGTCGTTTCACACTGAAGTCTCTGTCTGAAAGTTTCTTTCTTCAGGCTGATGTGTTCCGTTACCGGTTTCTAGATAGCAATGGTTATTCAAGGGTGATTGCAAGCATCTTCTTTCAAACCAAAGTTCCATCTGCTGGTTGTAACATGTGGCAATTGCATGCTCTCATGCTGCAATGTGCAATGGTATCTGCACATTATGTACACATCTGCTGCACCAGGGATTGGCGCCAGGAACTTTGAGGGTGATGAAATCACATGGTATTCCACAGGTTCACAGAACTTCACTGAATAATATTGATTACATTTTATCAAGTGTGCTGAGTTTTTAATGTTTTTATACATGTTGATATTATGACCATTATTGTAATCTCATTTCATGGCTTTAGTGACCTGAAGTTTTGGGACTATAAATGGTTCTGCACAAGGTTGTTCTTCCTGAGCTTTCCAAGCTGTGCATCTTTCTTTCCAATTTTCATATTCATTGTAAGGTCAAATTTAAATCTCATCAAAAGCTTTCAAATGCATTTTTATTTTTATTTGCATTTTAGCCATTAGGCTTACTTTGTAAAAAGAATCAGAATATTTATTACTGGAGCTTTTTTTAACCTTGATTTTTGTGTTATGTGCATATATCACTTGGCTAGGGTCAAGCCAGAAAAGGAAAACCCAAATCCATTCCCACCAGCTTCTAATAGGGATTGATCTCTCCATTTTGGTTGTCTCCATTTCTCTCCCTTCCCCGCTAGTCTTAAATTAAATTCTCCACATTTCCCAGCAATTTATGGTGGTTTTTTTAATTTTAAAAAAAGATCATATAGACACGAACATTCAGCAGCATTTTGGTGCAAATTTATCGTAATAAATGCATGTTTATATGCAGTTTTGACTAATGTACATTTGTTGGGAAGCATTTCCCCCTAATATAATGCATTTATGTGTGTTATTTTCACTGGTATCTTCTATTTCCTCTAACACACGCATTTTTGTAAATACTGTTCAGTTAGAGAACTGCGTCGCAATATTCAGAGTAGTGGAAATGTTTACGGACAGCTGTGTTTTGGTTTGCATTCCTGCTTTGCAAAGTGTGAATTTAATAGCCTCGGCTATAAAAGGTGTTCTGAATTGAAGTTCTCCTCCATCCCTGGCCTCTAATCAGGTGGTAACCACCATCAGAAGCGTGGACCAGGTCGGCCATTTGTCAAGATGCATTCTATTGGGCCAAGTGGAGCAAGAGCAGACACAGGCAAAGAACATCTGGCAAGATGATCCACACACACAGAAAGCTTCCCTTCAGAGCACAAATTGCTGGGTCGGGGAGCTTATATTTCAAAAGTGCTCTAGTGTACCATCCTGAGTTTGTCAGAGATTCTGCACTAGAAAGCTAAACAACAAAATAAACTTTCACTCTGTCTTTTTTTACAACTGGCCATCAACCTCGTTATCACCCAAAAATATCAAACTTACTGTATCTATTCAGCTGCAGTCAGCTGGGCTCCTGCTGTTGCTTTTTAAAGACTTGAGTATGCTTCTCATATATTACCCACCTGTCTGAGGTTTCTGGACTGAGAATCCTCAAGAACTGTTAGGGGCTACTTTTTAATGACCAAATGCAACCTAGGCAGCTGCCTTTTAATGAATCAAATCCTTGGTCCATCTAGTTCAGTATTGCCTGCGCTGATTGGCAACAGCTAGCGATGGGTGAATCAGTCCATTTCAGCTTCTCTGGGTTTATCATTTTTTCCCCACTTTTAAGTTCAGTTCTCCACATTTCTACATCAGTCTGTTATTTTTTTTTTAATGTCCTCGCAAAAATCCACCAGCATTTTAGAGTGAATTTCTCCTATTATGTGCAATTTTGCCAAATATTCATTTTAGCTAAGCAATTTTTGCTAAGATTGTGACCAATGTAACATTTGTAAGCTTCTTTACATAATATTTTGTGTTTTGGCTATTATTATTTGAACTCCAATTAATATTAAACTAGTTGTGTGTTAATTGGCTTGATTATCCCTACAAAAAAATAATCAAGAAGTATGCCACAGGTGGTTTAAATGCTTTCTTTTTGTTGTGTTTTAAACAATGTGACCAATGTAACAGGTTTGCAACCTCAAGAATTTATTTGTAATTTGGACGACTATTTTCTCTAACAGTATAATTATTTTTTTTAAAAAATCCATTCGTGGCAATAAACTGTGGGGAAAAGGTTTTCTGGCAAAACTGCCCCTCAATGAGGCCAAACCTAGATTCACAAAATGTTTAGGGGTATGTGTACCCCTGTGTACCCCCAGAAAAAAGCACTGCCTGTGACCAACATAACATGTGGAATTCATTGACAGTCACCTACAAATAAATCTCTCCAAAGCAAGACCCTTTGCATATGACACCTTACTATGTACTCACAAGTTGTAGGTCAGCACTTAGTCTGTGTGGAAAGTTGTAACGCCTGCAGGAGCTTACACTTGGCTGCTGGAACACCCTAATGTTTTCTTTCTTTTCAACCCAACATTTGTAATCTTTTGCAGGAAAGACAAATGCCACAGAAGTCCTTAAAAAAA